AGTAACTGGCCGGCCTCCTGGGCAGACGTGGTTCCTTGGCCCCACAGACAAAGCGCCGGCGCTGCTGCTGCTCGTGCTGCACCCCGGGGTGCTCGCTGGGTGAAAGCCCAGCCTGCCCCCACCAGACCACGCAGCTGAGGTCAAACAGCTGCAAAGAGCAGGGGAAAATCAGAACCCAAATTAGAGCAGAGGTGTTTCGTGCCGGTTCTGCCCCCTTACCACGTGTGCTGTTCTCTTCTAGTCCCCCTACTCCTCTCTGCTCTGGCAGGTTTGACTTTGGGTGAGATACGACCTTATCTCACCTTCTGCACAGGCGCAAAGACGTGGATTTATCACTAAAGGTCAAATTAAATAAGGAAATATTTATACCTTGTTTGGGCAACAGCACCCTCATTAGGTGACGTGGGAACATGCCAGTCTGAAAACAAATACAAAGGAGAATTCCTAAATAATTACTTTGCATGGTCGAAGGGTTTAAAGTTTTGCCGGTGGAAAAAAGGGAAATGGAAATAGAAGCTAAGTGGCATTCTTTCTTCAGCGTGTCTCATCGGATCTCACTCATGCCATTTCAAAACACGTTAAGCATGCCACGTTTCTGCAAGACCAGTGCAAACCACTAGGGAAGCAGGATGAATATGGAACAAAAATCACCGGCAGTAAATATGGAATTGCAAAAATGCATCTCAAGGGATAGAAAACGTCTCCATTGCTTAAAAATAAGTCCCACGCCACATTCCCATTACAGGATCCTGTGCTGTATGGAAAATGCGAGCAAGTAACTCAGTAGATGACTTCACAATTGTCTCGAACCTTTATGCTAAAATTCTGTAAGAGAGATAAAAGCAGACAGCGATATCTGGCCTCAGTGAAGCAAAAGGGAATTTTAACACACGCTTAAAAACCCAGAATTTCAAACGGAGCCTGTAAAAGTTAAGCTGCTCTGAATAGCCCTGCCGTATCTCCAAATTTAGCAGGGCTATCTGAGTCCACAGCAAGCGCCCATGTATTAAAGTAATGGCTACTTTCCACTTTCTAAAAGCGTTAATGTCTTGGCTTTAAAAAAAGAGAAAGCATTTCTGCTGATTGCCCCCCTCTGAGGGCATCTCTCAGCACCACATTTTCCTCCTTTTCGCTGGGCTCCTGCATATTTCCTCTCCGCGTCCCCTCTGGCCCAGTTTTCCTGCTCATTTTCAGCCTCCTGATTACACGCGAACTGGCAGCACAGACAGCGGGCACAGGAGCACGGGGCCACTGCACTTGGGAGAGTCACTGCGGCTTTTAAAGGACAGCTTAAGCATGAGGCGTTTCCTACAACTGATGCAGATACAAAATCCTCTTGTCTGCACCCCAAATCCACCCATCCATCCGTCCGTCCGTCCGTCCATCCATCCATCCATCCATCCATCCATCCATCCATCATCCACCCAAGCCAGCTGAAACCAGATTTTGCTGAACCTGCCAGCGGACAATTCCCTGTGCTTTGGCAACTGAACAGCCATATATATTTGCTTTGTAATTAGTCAACTACTGTATGTGCACAGTAGCAGCCTCCTGAAATGTGGGAGGAAGAGTCTGGGCAGAAGGCAGGCAGCAGAGCAGCAGGCACCTGGTTCTGAAGAAGTTATTGCATCGGCTGGCAGCCTCCTCACATCCTGGAGGAGAGGAAGGGGAGCTGGCACGGCATCCAGATGTACTGCAGGCAGCCCAGATTTCCAAACCCTGCTGCCCCTTCGTTTTTTCTAACCTCTCTCCAGGACTGAACAAAAAAAAAAAATGCTAGAAACCAAGAGGAAAAATAGTGCCGTGGTTTCCTATCAAACGTAATGGAAACCAGGGTAAGAGGGAAACAAAACCAAGAGCCTGACACACGGAGCTAAGGTTTTCTTACACTGATGTAAAATGGGAAGGACTGACGTACAGGGGCTGGGCTGTTTTATAGATGACATTTCCATGTTTAAGCTATCTAGTAGCCTGTGGTAGCCTTCAATTTCAGCAGTAACGCTTCGAGGGAAGAGCTACTTCTGATGTGTGCTTATACTGAATAATGAAAAGATTGGCCCCCAGGTACTACAGCCCTACCAGTAATAAACATTATTACTAAATAATAGCAATGAAGGCTTGGAGTTAATATTCAAAATGGGCATGAGACCAAGAGCATGCCCAAGCACATTTCATGCTTATTTTAATTGCCACAAAACAAATAAAATGAGGATGGATGTTCGCTCAAAAGGGTGTGATGCTGTTTTGCTGAAGCACTCAGAATTTGGTGTGCTATTGTCAAGCCTATTTGGAGTAAATTGTGTGTAGAATTGCAATGAGAGCTGTAGTTGCCTAGCAAAGGTCTAAGATTTCCATTTAAAATTAATGTGAACTGTTTCTCTGGATCTGACATATGGGCTCTGAGAACCCCTGCCAAGATGTCAAGAGCTAGAAGGCTCCCCCTCTAACTCCAAAAAAATGCTGGAGGCAACGTGCTCCTGGTATTTTGGCATTTGGCTCTAACGTGAAACAAAGAGACACGCACAGCCCCCCTGCCGCGGGGCCACGCAGCTCGGGCAGCCTGTGGGGTCCCAGGTAACAGAGCAATCACACGAGATGTGGGCTCTGCTCTGTGCCATGGGCTCAGTAACATTTCCTGCACCTGCCCCTTCATCCTCCTCCAGCCCGTGCCCCTGGACACAGCCAAGGCGTTTCCCAATCCTCCAGCTCCCCAGCAAGCTGACCAAACTCCTCCGCCAGCCCAGGGCCTGATCCTGGGCTCAGCACTTCAGAAGGCCCATTTCCCTGTAAGCAAATTCCCCTTCTACAGCACTAAAAAGAACACACTTTTTTTTTTCCTTTGGTTTGTTGTTTTTTTTTCTTTTTCTTTTTTTTCACATATCCCAGATTATACCCTTCCTAATAAGTGTGAAACTCTTCGCGGTGAACCACGGTGGCAATCAGGGTGAAACCTGCCAAGGGCTACGCAGAATCAAAGATTAAACTATCTCAAGGCAGCGCGTGGAAGGGAAGCTTCAGAGGAGGGCTGGAAAGGAGAAAATAAGCATCAAGGTGTATGGAGGATAAACAATCAATTTCAAAATGTGAGAAAAAAAGGGGAAGATACTAAAAATGGCTCCAGAAGGACAGAAATGAATGCTCAGCTTCCCACACCATCTTCAGGATGTCAAAAGAACCTCCCAGACGAAGGAGAAAGGCAGCTCTGCGGGAAGAAGGTTCCTGTAAGGGGCAGGATGCTGCTCTGGGTGCCTCCTCCCGTCCCTAAAAGCGCCACTTCCCCCAGAGGTTGTGGGCAAAGGAGCCATTCCCAGTCCTGGCCCAGGGGCCAGCTGGGCAGGGATATAACTGCAGCTAAGCACAGAATACTTGACATAGATGATAGCCTATTTGGGACAAAACCTTATTTTCTTTGCATTCTCTACAAACCCAGCCTGGCACGGCCCCAATGTTCCGAGTGATTTCCCCGGAGCTCCTAGGAGAGCAGTAAAGCACAAAGATGTCCAGCTCCCAGCCAGTCCTCCCGACGTGCAAACCTTCCCTTTACAGCCGAATCCATTACAGAAGTGGGAGGAGAGAGAATCTGAATAAACAGACAGAGGAACCACAGGATGAAAGCCCCAGTGATGTTTCTCGGGTGTCTGCAGGACACAACACGTCTCGGCACAGCCTTTACAAACAGCAACCCAGGGGCACTGGTCCTGAAGAAGGAAACCGAGGAGGTTCCCGTTCCCATCAAGGCAGGACAGCATCCACCGTGGGATTTCTTTTGCTCCAGTTTGGCTCATGCAGGAAGAGGTGGTGCTGAGCCACCAGCGCTCACATCAGTGTCAGGCACGGGCTTCCCCAAACCTCCCCGCCTGCTCATTTGTCTTATGCCTGAAGTTACACTTGGTGGCAGCCACACTGCCACTGATAGGTGCGGTATTAATGGGCTTGTGTGCACGGCTTGTTGTAGCCTTAAGCGTCTCCTAATTACACTGCCCAGCTGGGGGACCCAGCCCCCTGCCTTTGGCACAGATCCACATGACCGGAGCCACTGCTCCCCACCAGGGCCACGCTCTGGGCTGGCCATACTGGGCAAATATTTTCCAGCACTGGAAGTAGGCTGGAAGAAGAAACAAAACATGCACACGCACAAGAAAAAAGAAAAAAAAAAAGACGCTGCCTTTTTTTGTTTAAACTGACTTGGAATATGTTGAATTGGTTCATTGTTTGCAGAGGAATCTGAGCAGAATTAATGATTCGCGCCAGCAGGGAGAGGCGCTGCTTTGCAAATGCAGTGGCCAGACATTCTCCAAGATCTGTAATCTAATTTAGCTCAGAGAGTTAATGATTTTAATGATTTGTTGTGATCTCAAAACAACTGTTAGGAGATAAATCTACATCATTAAACCTATTATGGTGTTTTGCTTCATTTAGCAAATGGTGTTTTTTTGTTCGGAAGACGCCCACATCCCAAACAAGCAGAGAGGTCAGCTGCTGACGGTAAGGAACAATTTATTCCCAGCTCCCTCAGAGACTGAAACGAAAGGTGTCCTTGGGAAAAAAATAATTCTTCACAAATGTTATCGACTATTTTATAAACAGAAAGCTTTGCTTGTGCTGTGATGTGTGTCATTGTGCGAACGTCTGTTACAAAACAGAAGGGACTCCTGAACACGGGCACTCAGCCGGCGGTTCGGGGCCACGCGGTTCAGGGCCCGGTTACTTCCCAAGGAATCTCCAGGGGTGCCAAGCTCTGGGTGCTGAGCTCACTGATGCTCGCTTTAAGGCAGCCTGAGAGCAATAGCAAGAGAAAATTGTCACCATCTAGGAGCTCTTCAGCAACTGCTCAGCTCTGCCTTTGGAAAGACGGCGTGCGTCCCAGCGCACAGCCACGCGGGGGGCAGTGGATCCCCTTCGCTGGACACCTTGGGAACAAAGCCCACGTCCTCCCTCTGCCCCCACCTCTCCTCAGCACCCAGAATCAGGTCGGGGGAAAAAGTTCATGTATAACAAGGTTTAGCCAACAAAAACGTATGTTTAATCTCCTGAGACTGACTAATTACGCTGTCATTCTTTTATAAATACGGAGCATAATCGTGCCGTGAGCACAATCAACCAACGAATGCCTGATACCGCGGACACGAACAAATTGACTTGCATCATCTGTTACATTCTTCACATAATCAGGGACAAAGTTTATGAGGAATCAAGGGCAGAGAAATGAAGCTCTGAAAAGTGATTTCAGCCGCACTACAAAGATGGAGAGCGCGTTCCCAAAGTCAGCAGCGGGCACCCAGCCGCGGCAGTGTCCGAGCGCATTAGGGTGCTGATGCAGCTCCACTGAGAGGACCAGATTTCGACTACAGCTTCATTGTGCTCTCCCAACACAAGCTTCCTCCAATCCATTCTGTTAAAATGTCTTTTATGCTGAGTGAAGAGGATGCAAGAGAAGAGCAGGGCAGGATATATGTTTTCTTACTTCTTGTAGCAGTTATTTATACAGGAGAGAGTCAATAACCAACCTTTTTTCCCTACAAGTTTGAGAAGTCTATTATGATTCAACTACATTTGCCTAAGCTAAATATTTGATAAATTTAAAATATGACATAAAGAAAAAACCTCCTGTAAACAGCGGTGATGGACTCTCTTCTCGCCTCGCTCCTTTCTAATCCCCGGGCAGGGAAGGATGTTCCAGTTCTTCAGATACCATTTAGGAATCGCCACCATGCTGCGATGTGTTCAGCCTGCCCGGCGTCTGCCTGCCACAAAGCAAACACGAGAGGTTCAGGGGGAGAGGAATGTGTTTGCTGTGCTGGGGAAGGCAGCACCCACTGGGGTCTGAGCGCTGTCCTGGCAGCCTTATCATCCCCTGCACCGCATGGACAGCACAGACTTGTCACTCTAATAGCCTAAAGTAAATAAAAACCAAAAAAATATCCCTTCAGTTGTGTTTATTTTGGGGGAGCTTCTTTCTTCAGCTCTGAATATATAGGGAATGCATTTTATTACCAACTGTGACATCTCGAAATGCAGCAACTGAATTGAATCGGAAAAGAAAGGCAAGTTGTGCCCTTCTGCATCGCTAACCCTTCCAGAAGAAGAGGACTTTTCAACCTTCGGTGGGAAAAACGCAGTTAGATTAAGGTGTTGGTTTCCCAAATTAAAGCCTGGATGGAAGCTCAAGGTCACTGTTTGTTTTCCTTCAGACCTGGTCGCTCATTAGAGCGCGCTCTTTGTGAGCGTTTTGGTACAGAAAACATCTGGCAGCACACTCCAAGTCAATAAATGCAAATGACACAAATACAGTTGAAAACGCGATGGCTTCGTGATGATTGCCTCTGCCCAGGAGAATCGCAGCTGAAGATGCAGCACTTTGTTCTGCAGGGTTACTCATACGACTTTTTTCCCCTATGTGGAGTGAGACGCTCAGTTCATCATTTTGACCACTGTTCTCGTGCCAACTGTTGCAGCCCTGCCTGGCTGTGCTGTGATATTTGGAAACTACCCTCCAGGTAGAACAAATGTTGTGCTATTTGCTGGGTGGAAATTTGTTAAATAAATCATCGATTCGTAGTGGCATAAGAAATTAGCAATAAGCTGTGCCTGGAAGGTTAGACATATTGTACTTCAAAATGAGCAGGAGGCCACTTTGCAATTCAAAAGAGAGATATTGGGCTGTGGGAAGGCACATCTGTTAATCATTTTTCCCCGATACCCAAAAGGTTGGTAGCTGGCCTCCCAGCAGAGCCCTGTACCAACACTGAGAACCCCTTTTAAATTAGCTTCAGTGCGTTCTCTGCCCGATCCAGGGAAAGAAGAAAAGCTTGGGAGCTTTTTCTCTGCAGACTCGGATGTCCTTGGCTGCACAGTGCACGCTTGGCATGGCCGCGTTTCAGGAGCAGTGCTCTGGGTTTCCATGCTGGTGAGAGCCCGGTGTTATTACTGCATTACACTTCCTATTTTGAAACACCGCGGGGCATTATTAGTCTGGGAGGTTTGACATTTAGTAGGGGCTGTGGCCTGGGGTGCTCTTTATTTGACAATTACTTACGAGTTTCTCTTAGAAAAGAATACATAGAAAGACTGTTTCTGAAAGCTTCCTTCAAAGTGACATCTGATGAATTTAAATAATGGGTTTTAGCACTGCTAACGCTTCCAAACATTTTTACATTTTTTATAACCTTTACAAACCCTTTGTTCCTCCTCCTGATCATTTTATAACCCCTATCTACCTGGAAATATCTCAAATAAGCAGTTGGAAAAGAAGCTGAAAGCCTATACATCTTTTTATTGCGTCCTGAATCGCTGTCAGTATCAAATGTTCCTTCTCAACAAGAGATAGGAGAAATGAAGTGTTTCCTGAACAGCTTATGGGGCTGGATACGGATTTGCTTTTTCTCACATACAATAACTGATGACATCAAAATAATTTCAGCTTTTCAGCTTTTATGCTATAGAGAGAAAGCGTTTAGCAGCTTAATGTGAAAAAAAATCTTCAATTTCCCAATTGTCACTTTTGAGCCTCTACCATCCTGAAATTTTAAGCAAGTGCGGCCATTCTCCATAAAGCTTCCCGTTGTGCTGAAGAAGAGCATCTTGGTTTTCAACAAAGCATCGGTTTAACGTTTGCACCTGTACTCACAGGTCGGGGCTGGAGGCAGGGGCTGCAGAGCCCCCCTCTGCTGAGTCTCAGCGCAGGACTGGTGCGGGGGCTCAGCCTCCCTCCCGCACTCAGATCGCTCCTTGGCGGGGAGCAGGAGCTGGTCTCCTGATTTCCCCCCCTTAAGCTGCCCAGAGGAAAAAAAATAATGAAAGAAAGGCCACCAGAAGTTCAGATAAAGCAGAAGTGATGCTCGTTGCTGGAGGGCAGTTTAGACCGAACTAGAACGTAGTTTAGATAAACAAGGCTTAATTGTCATTCTGCTGGTCTGCGAGGCAACTGATACCGCATGTAATTAAATTATTTTACAATTATTACTTCCTGAGTGCTTAACCGAGAAGAATAAAGGTAGGATTTTTTTTTTTCCATATCTTGCAAAATAGTTTCGCGTTCAGAATATTTTGTTTTACTGTATTAGCTTGTGTGAGCGCATGTTTCCCCTCGCTCCTATTTGCCCATTGGGTTGTTTACTTACTGGGATTGAAGTCAGAAGAGGTTTGCTCTCGCAAGCAGTACTGAATTTCTAATAAATATGTAAATAATATACCTCTGAGCTGTTGCCTTTGGCATTTGCTCATGCATTATCCTCTGCCGTAGTTAAGTCTGCTGTGAGCACACACTTGTTTTGCTCGGAAAAAACATCCCCGACCTCAGCGGGGCCCGGACGGCAGCACCGCACTCGCAGTTGCGGGCGCTCTGCTCTCACTCTGCTGTCAATTGCGTGCAGAAGGTACCACTTAAAATAGATCAGGAGAGAAAAGAGAAGCGGGAGAATAGCAGAGGTCAGCCCTAACCAGCTACTCTGCTGCCAGCATGTGCAATTTCCCCGTGCAGACGGGGTCAGCGCGAGGCCCTGCATCATCCGTGTCCTTGAGAAATCCTCAGCACTCCAGCAAGCAGGAAAACCTGATGATCTTGAAATGAAGTGATGTTGCCATGGGGTGAAAGGGAATCTAAGCGAGCCCTGCACTGAATTTTCTCTGGTGACCGCAGACTCTGCCCTTACAGCACCGGGAGGCTCAGAACCACACAGCCAGGAGACCCCCCCCTGCCCGGGGGTGCTGGGCCCAGTGAGGGTGCTCAGGACCCGGCCAGGCTCAGTGCTGGGGCAGGAGCAAGGCTGGGAGAAGACCAAGGAAGCAGAGAGAAAAAAATCAGCAGCAGGGTTGGGGAAGAATCTGATCCTTCAGGGCACGGTGGGACCTCAGGGTGAACGATGCCCTCTGGAGATTAAAACCAGGCCGGGAAGTGGAGGCTGAGCACAAACGGCCAGCGGCTAAAATCTGCTGAACTGCAGCGGAGTTTTGGCCAACTCTTTGCCATTTTCCCGTCCGTTTCTTTTCTGGTTGTGGCCTCTACGTCTCCGTGAGAAGCCAAGAAGGGTGGGCTGTGGCCTTCAAAGGCTTGGAAGTCATTGTTTTCTAGGAGAAATTAGGGCCTCACAGCAGAGAAGTGCCAAGGTCCAGAGCTCAATTTTTCCAAGCAGTGATTGATAAGAGCCAGCGATGTTTCCCCTGCCCTCACAAGGTGCTGCTGCTGCCCCGGGGCTCTGGCTGCCCCCACATCTGGGATCGGTGCGGATTTGGGGCCTCAGCCTCTTGCTGCGAACCCCAAAGCTCCTCATGTGGCTTTCTGGCAGTGCAGCAACACTGGTGATGCTTGAAACGACCCACAGCAGAAAATGAGAGCTTCATCCTGATGGGAACAGCCAGGCGGCATTTCTCCTGGTCTGGGGAACCAGCTCCAAAGCACACGCAGAGCAATGTGGCTGTGCAGACCACCACAGCCCTGCCACAAACCTGCAGCCGCGACGTCCCCAAAAAGCTCTAAGCACGGCCAGCAGCGGCCCAGCCATCCCTACGGCTCCTTTCCTCTTTACCTTTGCTCACCAGATTAATGGGGCCATACCTTTGTCCCGTTATGTCTTCACTTTCCCACCTGGAAAAACCCCTTTGTGCTAATGGGGGACCCTAAACAACGCGCACAGATCTGCAGGCACAAATAGAGCCTTAATTGCTTCCCCGGGCTGAGGCTCAAATAGATAAGACAAAGAGGATGGAGAAAAGAAAGCGTTATTTATTTGGGGGAGGCCAGGAGGTTATGAAATTTTCTTACATTTACCGAAGGAGATAATGAATCTTTTAGCTCACCACGCGCAGTAGATCCACAGGCACTTAGGCCGTAATGCAATTCCGCCCGTATAAGCACTTCCATATCTCCCGGCAGAGGAATGTTGTGCACCTCGGGTGCTTTATCAACAAAATGCCCTACTGTAGCTACTTGGCCTTTGGAGATTATTTTCTCAGGGAAGCTGTCATCATGCAGCTGATTAATTACTCTAATAATCATAATTTTTTTTCTAATAAAAAACCCCTCTTCCCATTCATTAACTACATTGCAGGTAGGTGACAGTGGTAATTATTCTCTGGAAGTACTTCTGAATTATCTTTTCTAATCCAGCCTATGCTGACATTTTTGAGAGAAAAAAACATTTTGTCTCTCTTTCATGAGTGGGGTGACATTTGAATATGCAAACAGTGTCAAAGCCTGCCCTCCGGATGTTTTCCTGAACTATGATTTATGAGGTTTGGCTATTGTATTTGCTATCATGGACCTAGAAAGGTCATTAGACAAAGAGGCTTTCCCTGCAGGGGTCTCTTGCTGTCTTTATCATCTGATATTTTAATTTTTTTTTCCCCAAACATCAGGCAGGAGATGCACTGAGTCTTCCCACACGCCTCCGCTGGTGATCATTTATTTATTCAGGAGCATACAGGCCCTGTGTGATGCCCCGGGTGCAGGGATCCCCGCACACCCATTCAGCCCCCACCAGCCCCACGGCCCCTGCGGGGGCACTCAGCTGGTGGGATGCAGCCCCCCGGCCCCACACCGCTGGGGTTTGAGCCACGGCAGCGAGCTCTGGGCATTCCCAGCTGGTGGCCGAACTCTCAGCCCCTCCTTGCTGCAGGTGGAGCAGATTTGGCCGGGCAGGGAAGCAAACCCAGCTCTCCTGTACCCATTCTGACTCCCAGACGGGATCGCAGCAGCGGAGCTAGCCGGTCGGGTTCAACAGATGGGGGGAGATTTCAGAACATCCCA